TCTTTCTTTCTCTCTCTCTCTCTCTCTCTCTCTCTCTCTCTCTCTCTTTCTTTCTTTCAGATTTTTATTTTTGATTTTTTGAAATAGGTTTTCTCTGTATAGCCTGGGCTGTCCTGGAACTTGCTATGTAGATCAGGGTGGCCTCAAACTTAGATATCCACCTGCCTCTGCCTGCTGAGTGCTGGGTGTAAAGGCGTGCACCACCATGCCTGGCTTTAAGACTTTTATTTTTAGTTGTGTGTGTGTACACATGCGTGTGTGCATGCGTGCAGGTGAGTGCAGGTACCTGAGGAGGCCAGAGGCCTCTGATTCCTGGGAGCTGGAGTTACAGACAGTTGTGAGCTGCTGACACGGTCGTGTCATCATCATATTGTTATTGTTGTCTCATATTGTTGTACTGTGATGGGTTTCTCTTGATTTTCATAGATTTCCTTTTTCTTTTTTAAATTTTTTGTTGCTGTCTTGATCCATGTGCAAATGAAACAATCCTAATAGACATGCCCCAAATGATCTTCGAAGATCTGATCTATAGTAAGATACATACGTTAGCCAAGAAGTGTACACAGAATATTTTAAGTGCTTTGAGAATGATGGGAGAAGAAGAGTTCAGGAAGATGGAAGTTAAAAGAATGACTTACTCATACTATTCACAAAATTATTGAAAAGTAGACCAGAATATATGTTTTTACTCTACGTAGATAGGACAAAAGTTTACTGTAGCCTCCAATTGTTATCTTATTCACTTTTTGCATATTTCTAATGTTTTATACTTAGCAAAGCCTTCTTGTAAAATGATGCATGAGTACATGACTGAATAAAAATTCAAACAATGGAAATGTTTTAGAATTATCCACTCAAGTTTTCCTTTTCTTCCCAGTCTTGCTTTCTCCATAGGAACATCTGTTTATAGTATGTCTATAAAGACACATTTTTGTGGTTATGATGTATGTGTGTGGGCTTTTGTGTAGTCAGTGAGTTTTTTCTACCCAATCTCTCTGAAGTTTTTCTATTTTATAGGTTTCTTGCACTGAAACCAGGTAGACTTTGGAAAATAAATTAAGAAATTACTGTAGTTCCTGAAGGCACTGCACATAGAATGAGTGGTGTTTTACCCCTGTCCCCGGCTGTTACCCTGGGCTGTTTGTGTTTTCTGGAGAGGACCTCAGGTAGTGTAGGCTAGCCTTGACCCTCCCAAATGTCACATTCCCAGGCACACGCCGGCACTCCTGGCACAGGCTCTATTTTTTGAGAAGGTTTTAAACTGTGGCTTAGGGTGAACCGGGACTCACTGGAGGCCCTGAAATTGCTGGGAATCTCCTTAGCCTCCTCAGTGCTGGCATTACTCACGCCCGAGCCACCAGGCCCAGATCCTAGCCTGATTTTGTTTAACATCCCAAAATGCCTGCTTTGCAAGTTCCCCTCCTCGCCCTCCCGCCACCTCCCCTTCCTCTTTCTGTGTTGTCGCTTCTTTCCTTTTTCTGGTCTGTCTGTCTGTCTGTCTGCAAGGTCAAGTCGTTACACACTGTAAAAAAAATAAAGGAAGGCTGGAACTTGAAATAAGGTCGTTTGCCCTTGTTATATTAGGAATTCTTACACTGCTTACTGACTGACTTTCCATCAGTAATTCTCCTATTGTTAGGTGCCTAGATTTATTATTTATTATTATTTCTACTATTAAGGGCTATTAAAACGTCATGGTCAGTTGATGTTAGTGTTGTAAGTTCTTTTCAACAGAAAAGCTTACAAATTCACAGGAAAATGAAAAGCTTGATTTGCTTTCACTTTGGTTCCAAATTTCAGAGCTGGTACAGCTTGTTCAACTTACCTCATAGCACATTTAAGTTGCACGTTAAAGGCCTTTCCCAAGTTGTGTATTAAGTTGATGAGGTGGCATGGGGGGAAAGGTCATAATGGTGTTGATTTTAGTGCAAAGTTTATGAAATGATAGGTAATGGGATTTTGTTTTCGTTTCTTCATCAGTGACTTTTTTGAACGAACCATTCTGTGCAACAGCCTTGTGTGGAGCTGTGCTGTGACGGGTAGACCTGGACTGACGTATCAGGAAGCACTTGAATCCGAAGAAAAAGCAAGACAGAACCTGCAGAGTTTCCCAGAGCCACTAATTATTCCAGTTTTATACTTGACCAACCTTACCCATCGTTCACGCTTACATGAAATTTGTGATGATATCTATGCATATGTCAAGGACCGATATTTTGTTGAAGAAACTGTGGAAGTCATTAGGAACAATGGTACAAGGTAAAGTACTTTTAATTTTTTCTTTTGATAAGCATAAATTGCTCAAAAGTCAAAATATCGCCAGGTGTAGTGCTCCATGCCTAGAATATCAGGATTTGGAAAGCTAAGGCAGGAATATTGTGAATTCTGGGTTAGCCTGGGCAATATAACGAGACTGTCTGAAAACAACCCAACCTCAAAGGTGAAATACGGAAAGCATGGTCTGAGGAGATTTTTCCTTTTGTGTTTTTCTAGCTACTCTGTTATTCCATAGATGTCCTGTGGTAGCTGTAGCTACTTTTTGTATATCTTTTCATGTATGTGCCACCAAAGATTTGTACATGCATGTGTGTATGTATCTGTGCAAACATACTTGACATAGTCTTTTTTTTTTTTTAGTATACTAGGTAATATGCTGTATAACTCTTTTCACTTAAAATATCTTTGAGATCCTTTTGCTGTATAAACCAACTTCTTTTTAATTTACTATAATATAAACCCCATTATATGGATACTCCATATTTAAGAAGCCTAAAATAATGATATCTACCATATCCTCATAGTAAATAATAGTTTAAATATACTTGTTTTGATGGCTTTCAATATTTTTGTTTGTTTTGTTGTTTGAGACGGTTCCTCTGTTGCTTTGGAGCCTGTCCTGAATCTCGCTCTGTAGACCAGGCTGGCCTCAAACTCACAGAGATCTGCCTGCCTCTGCCTCCCGAGTGCTGGGATTAAAGGTGTGTGCCACTACTGCCAGTCGGCTTTCAGTATTTTATTTAACAAAACTAGTATGTTATACATACTCTGCCTATTTAAATATGCTTACTTGTGTGTTGATGGCTTTCAGTATTTAAGAAAAATAGAACTATTGTCTATACTCCACCTCTTTGTATGTTTTCAATGCCTTTATTGAGAACCTAGCATGCACAAAGCCCTTGGTCTGATCCCCAGCACTCAATAAACTATGTGTAGTGATGGGAGCCTGTGATCTCAGCACTTCTGTGTCCTGTAAAGTAAAGGCAGGAGGGTTAGAAGTTTGAGATTGGGACCGGAGAGATGGATGCCTCAGAGGTTCCGAGCACTGGTTGCACTTCCAGAGGTCCTGAGTTCAATTCCCAGCAACCACATGGTGGCTCACAACCGTCTATAATGAGATCTGTGCCCTCTTCTGGCCCGAAGTGCGAACATGCAGACAGAACACTGTACATAATTTGAAGGAGAAAAAAAGTTGTTGAAGGCCAGCTATCTCAATATCTCAATAGAGTAGAGGCAGAGGCAGGTGCATCTCTGATTTTGTGGCCAGCCTGGTCTACAAAGAATTCCAGGATATCCAGGGCTGTTACACTGAGAAAAACTGTCTCGATTTTACCCCCACCCCCACCCCCAAAATGACCCACCAGAGTGATAGCTCGTTGGTAACGTGCCCGCCTTAGGAGCATGAGGACCTGAGAATCCACGGTGGCACGGCTTTAAAATCCCAGCAAGAAAGGAGTGGGTACCAAGCAGATTCCTGGCTTGTTGGCCAACTGGTGTAGCCTACTGGACAAGTACCCGGCCAGTGAGAGACCCTGTCTCACAGAAACCAGGTGGAAAGTGGGGATGTCAGAGGCGCAGCAGCACACACACAGGTGCCGATGCGCCACACACACACACACACACACACACACACATACACACACACACGGTGGATAAGGAAGGGCTCGTGCCTGTCGCCGCAGTGCGTGGAAAATTAAGGTGAGAATTGCTGTGAACTTGAGGCCAGCCTGGGCTACGTTGTGAGTTCCAGGTCAGCTTGAACTACAGACTAAAACTGCTTCAAGAAAATTAAAAAATATGGAGTCTATTTAATGGTTCATACTTAAGGTGATACCCCAAGAAAGTAGATTGTGTTTTGATCTGTATCACCATAAGAATAAAGGAACCTCATGGCTACTCATTTGTAGTAGGACAAATATGCCCTACAGTTTATAAATTATTGTACAACATGAACTTTTTAAAATATACCTTACATACAAATATGTAATAACTTTTCTATATCTTTTGTTATTTTATGGGATATACATGTATACATATATACACACATGTATATATGTATACTCATATTTGCTTGCAACAGTAGTGAGTTGGGATCCTTTGTAGAAGGGGGAAATTTGGGAATAAACATTTCATTGAAACTCATTAGGAAGCATGCCTGTTCTTGTTGAACAGTCTTTGTGAAATACAAGAAATTGTTTTTCTAGGGGGTTGGAGAGATGGCTTAGTGTTAAGAGCTTATACTGTTCTTCCAGAGAACCTAAATTCAGTTCCCAGCATCCATATCTGGAGGCTCACAATCTGCTGTAACAGCAGCTCCAGGGTGCCTAGCTTCCCTGGGCACCTGCACACTTGTGGCATACACTTACACAGAAACATAAATTAAAAGGCATCTGTACAAAATGAAATTGTCTTTCTGAACAATAACAAATCTTAAGCGTCCTTATATATTGGCCATACTATAGCCTAGTCTGGCCTTGAACTCAATACAGTCCTGCCTCAGTTTCTCACACTTACTGGCCCTTCCTTCCTGGAAATAGGTCTCACTGTGTACCTCTCTGGCTGTGATAGAACTCACTGTATAGAACAGTCTGGTCTCAAATTCAGAGAGATTGCCTGCCTCCCAAGTGCTGGGATTAAAGGTGGCAGTTTTTTTTTTTAATTTTAATTTTATTTTATTTTACAATACTATTCAGTTCTACATAATAGCCACAGATTCCCTTGTTCTCTCCCTTCCTGCCCCCCTCCCCTTCCCCCCAGCCCACCCCCCATTCCCACCTCCTCCAGATCAAGGTCTCCCCCGAGGACTGGGATCGACCTGATAGACTCAGTCCAGGCAGGTCCAGTCCCTTCCTCCCAGATTGAGCCAAGCGTCCCTGCATAAGTCCCAGGTTTCAAACAGCTAACTCATGCAACGAGCCCAGGACCTGGTACCACTGCCTAGATGCCTCCCAAACAGATTAAGCCAATCGACTGTCTCACCTATTCAGAGGGCCTGATCCAGTTGGGGGCCCTTAACCTTTGGTTCATAGTTCATGTGTTTCCATTCATTTGGTTATTTGTCCCTGTGCTTTATCCAACCTTGGCTTCAACAATTCTCGCTCATATAAACCCTCCTCTTTCTCACTAATTAGACTCCCAGCGCTCCACCAGGGGCCTAGCCATGGATGTCTGCATCCAGATTCCAGTTTTTTGTTTTTTTTTTTTAATCAAAGTCTTTCTAAGCTTTTTTTAAAGTCAAAGTTGACTATGCAGTGTTGGCTGGCCTTGGAATTGACTATGTAGCCCAGGCTGACCTTGAACTCACAGATCCATGTGCTATTGCCTCCCATGGACCACCATGCCCAGCTTTTTAAAACATTAAATTTTTTTATCCCATTTATTGACTTACTCCGTTTTGTGTGGGGGTGTATGCCATGGCACACGTGTGTTGGTGAGAAGGGTCGGTCGTTTTCTCCACTGTGTGGGTCCTGGGTATCAAACTGGTTGTCGGGCTTGGCAGACTAGCTCTTCACTCATTGAGCCAGCTCACTAGCCCCCATACTGGCCTGTTACGGTTTATTTATATTACGTACATGAGTGCCTTGCCTGCACACATGTACCTGCACTGTATGCATGCCTAGTGATCACAGCCGTCAAAAGAGGCTCCGGTTCTCTTGGCATCACAGATGGTTGTTAGCGACCATGTGGTGCTAACACCCAGACCTGCGTCCTCTTAAGGGCTCTTTGTTTTTTTTGGGCGGGGGTTTCCAGACAGGGTCTCTCTCTGTAGCTTTGCCCTTTCCTAGAGCTCACTTGGTAGCCCAGGCTGGCCTTGAACTCACAGAGATCCTCCTGGCTCTGCCTCCCGAGTGCTGGGATTAAAGGCGTGTGCCACCACCGCCCGGCTCTCTTAAGGGCTCTTAACCAACCACTTAGTTATCTCTCCAGCCTCCTTTTTTAGTTTATCTGAGGTGGTGTCTTACATATCTCAGGCTGGCCTTGAACTTGTTATGTAGGCAAATATGACCTTCACTCCTGGACTTGTCTCTGCTTCCCAGTGCTGGGTTTGGCCATTCTTGAGAGGACACCTAAAGTGTGCTCTGCTGAGGTCCAGACTGTTGCTGTCCACTGTTCTTCACCACATCCTCAGAGTTGGCTTCTTAGCAGATGCTGGTTGCAATAAGAGAAAAGTGACTAAATCACAAATAGCAAAGGAGGCTGGTTGGCGAAGTGATGGGAGTCTTCTTTTAAAGAGGAATGGGTGAGGGGTAAGCAGAGAAGGGAGTCTTAAGAAGCCAGCGGTAGGTTGTTGTTTATTTATATATTGTGTGTGTACACGTACGTAGCAGGTCGAAAGGCGGTCTTTGGTGTTGGTCCTCTCCTTTCACTATAATGCATACCTCGAGGATTCGACTCCGGTCCTCAGGCTTGGCAGCAGGTGCCTTTAGCTGCTGAACCATCTCCCTGGCTCTCTGCTTTTCCTTTTCTAAAAATCAAGCATAGCTCTCTATGAGGTGGGAAATAACTAGTCTACTTTATATGCGTGTCCTGCTTCCATATAAGACCTCAGAAATAGCGAGCTCTTTCTCTGTGCCACATGTTGACTTGGGCTATTGATGTAGCGTGCGCAGTCCCCATTCACCAAGCAAACATGTATGCTGCCTCTCAAAGTGCCAGACGCTGTCCCTGCCTGGGGCCTTTGTGCTCTTCCAACCTGAAAATGTCCTTGTGTGTCCAAATGGAGAACTCCATGCTTTCCCTCACAGTCACTCTCCTACTGGAGCCTTTTCTCTTCCCATCTGAGATCCAGCATTTCTCTGTCCCAACACTTTAAGATGTTTTTAATTTATAGATGATGATGATGATGTGAGAAAATAAAAATGGTGACTTTCTGCCTGTAGTGGACGGTAGGATTTTGAAGCCTTGGGAAGTGGTATATACCGTCAGAGCCTGTCATCTGTGCTGTCACGGCAGGCCCAGCTCCTGCTGCCCTGTTTAAACCA